CGCAAGTACGGCACGCTCTTCTTCTTCTGGATCGTCATCGCCGCCACCGCCGTCGTCGACGTCCCCCTCTACTACTTCTGGTGCAGTTGGTCGGTCGACTGAGCGCGAGCCGCGCGGGCGCGTGCTAGGAGTTGGGGTCGTCCACCCGGGCCCGTGTGTGGCGCTCTGTGTTGCTTTCAAGGTAAAGGGTACCCCGTATGCCCCGGCGCGAACCTCTCCGGCCGGGTTCAATTCTTTGTTGACCGCCCCAAATCTAAATAAGTAAAGTGGGACGGACCACACACATGGATCCGACCCCGTGTGTCCCCGCCCTCTGCACGATCTTGGTCAGTGTGTATAAGGCGCACTATAATGCAGAGACTAGGGTGGACGAGGACGTTTTAGATTTGTTTCACACAGCAGGTGGTGTGTAAAAACTAAAATTCATAGATCATACCTTACGGTACTTGAGTTCTTCTACGCTAGTGTGTGCGCGCGCGTGTGAACTCTGCAACCTCTCTGAGATGAACGGCCTGTCGCTGCGCCTGCTGGTGCTGCTGCCGCGCAGGGGTTCTACAATAGTAAAGAAAAGCCGCCCATCCGCTTGTCCGGCGGCTGGTAGTACACCGTCCCGAACAAATGCGTCGTGCCGTCGACCGTCAGCAGAAGCTTGGGGCGCTCGGTGTAGTAGCTGACGTTTGCCAGCGAGCCGTTGGAGGCGAACATACTGGCGGGTGAGATTGAAGCAGCCCTCGAGGGCGTAGGCACCGTTGCAGCCGGCCATGTGCATGTCGGACCATGTGATTCCGTCAGGGGACGTGCATGGGAGTGGGGAGTTGCAACTGAATGCAAATCTTACTGTATGAAGGGGACGTGGATGGGTTGATGGGGGATCGGGGGGGGGGGGCGGGTGGAGGAGGATGGCGCCCCCGGGTGAGGCGGGGGGTGGGAGCTCGGGGGGCGGGCGGCGATCTCAGGCGAAGGCCTAAAATCGCTACCCAACGCGGCCAAAGGATGTCCACCTCGAGAACCTCGAGAGAGGCCTAAAAAAGAAAAAAATGTATTCACCCCCGGGGCTAGGGCTTTCTTGCCCGCAACCCGATCCCGATCATCCGGCCCGCTGGGTGCGCTTCTGAGCTCCCCGGCCCTGGATGTGAGGCTGATGACTGCACTCCAAGTGCTCCAAGAGACAACCCAAGGGAGGGATGGGAGGACGGCACGCCGCCACCACACAGGGATTTTAAGGAGAGGAGTGTGGTGCTAGCCGTCGCCCACCCTCGGGCGTCTACCACTTCCTATCTCATTTGATCAGGACGTCGAATAAAAATACAGAAACTTTTTCTTTGCTTTTTTGCCGCCCTCGCTTCCCGCTCCTCACACAAAACTAGACCTCAATGCACAAGCGCAAGAGCCGCGGAACGCTGCTCGCCTCCGCCGGCCTCGCCGGCGAGCCTGCCCGATCTCCGCCTGGCGGCAGTGCCGCGCCGGCCGCGCCTGCGTCTGCCGCCTCCCCCGCCAAGCGCCCGAGGCCGCTCCCGATGCTGGCGGAACCGACTGCGCGGGGCGTGCCGCTGGCGGGCGGCGGAGGCGGCCGCATGGCCAAGAACTTCATCAACGACGGGCGGCCTTCGGTTTATCTATCGGGGAAGAAAAAGTCGGGGCCGGGTACAAG